TGACATGACTTGCTAATGTGTGACTGATCAAATTGGATCATTTCCCAAATCTCAACCAATGACAAGAATGACAGATTCCTCAATCTAATCTTATCAGAGGATTTTGGGCATATTTCCTCAATGTTACAGGAGACATACCAAACTAAGATTCTGAGATGAAATTAGGTTTACTGAGTATTTATTGTGCACTTAATACATTCTCTGGGGTATTCTCCTATGGTTTCATATATTACCACATTTAATCTTTAATGCAATCTTTTGAGGAAATAAAGTGTCCATTTCATTATTGAGGAAAATGGCATCTAAAATAACTTATAATCTAAGTGACTGCTAGTCTATACTGGTGTGGGATCTGGAAAAAGGAGAGAGAGTCACAGAATAAAAATTTATAATGGTTTCCTTAACTAGTATATCTGACCATTAGAAATGGTACCTCAGACAGGTAGTTTTCCAAAAAAGAGGGAAAGAGAGAAATCACTAGTGAGAGAGAGAGGATTCGGCTGTTGTCTCTAGCCCAGCCTACACCAACACTACACCCCCCGGCCCTCAAAGTCTGTAGCTAGAGGTGACCCACCAGATGCACACCTTCAAAGCAGCCTTATGAGCAACCAAAGGTATCATCCTCTCTAAGCTGGCAGCACAAAGCTGGTCTCTGGCCTCTCTGGAGAGCAGCAGAAGAAAACCCTGCGGCTTAATGCGACAAGGACTAAGGCAAGTTCCTGTGAGTCCAGATGTCCTGGTGGTGAGGGGCATAGCTGTGGGATGTGGTCATCTCATCTAGACTAGTGGAGGCCATCGGTGACTCTTAACTATTCTGCTTGGCAGCTTAAAACAACAAATTTATTATTTCCCACAGCTTCAGAAGGTCAGGAAACAGACAGTGGTTTAGCTGGGTGGTCTGGTTCAGGGTCTCTCAAGAAGAGTCAAGCTGTCCGCAGGGGCTATGGTCACCTGAGGCTTGACTGGGGCTGGAAATGGTTCACTCCCATGGCTACTGGTAGTTCTTCATGGACTGTTGGAGAAGGCATCAGTTTAGTATCGAGTGGACCTCTTCCACAGGGCTGCCTGAGCGTCCGCCCAACATGGCAGCTAGGGTCCCCCAGAGCAAGTAGCCCGAGAGAGGGAACAAGCAGGAAACACTACCTCCTGTTAGCTAGCCTCCAAAGTAGGTCTCTGTCACTTTGACTTCACGCCATTGGCTTTGTCCGATTCACTAGAAGCCAGTTCCTAAATCCAGCCCTAACTCGAGGGGAGAGGAATTAGCCTCCATTTTTTGAAGGTAAGCGTATCAAAGAATTTTTGAACATGTCCTAAAACCACCTTTTTCTATGTCCAAACTTAGCCTTCAAATAGAATATATCCTTACTGATCCATAGACTCCCCAATCCCAGCAGATGTCCTTTCTGAGGAGCTAGAAAACATAACTTCTAGCTTCTGTCCTGGCCTTTTCACTTCAGGGAAAATAGGCTTTCCTGCCCCTAGTTTTTTGTTGTGTTTTGTTTTAAACTAATTCTCCTTTATTTTCATACAGCCATTGGAGGCTCATCAGATCTTCTTCCATCCTAGGGTTTAAAGAAAGAATTCTAAACAGATCAACCAGCTTTATCCCCTAATACTTGGATACTTTTGGAAAAGATAAACTTTTCTAGAGCTAGTGAGGGTGTATGGATAGGCCCTGTCTAAACCCCAGCTGTTGTCAATTCCATATACAGACATATGTAAAGATACTTCAGAAACTGTAAAGCTTTATATAATTGTTGTTGTCAGTGTTTTATCTGCTCACCATGGAAGTCGAAGCAGTGGTGACGAAAAGCATCTAGGATGAAAGGTGTAAAGCACTCAGGGCCTACCTATGGCTGAGTAGGAGCTATCTTGTCTAAAAGACAGCAAATTAACCATACATTCATTCAACTAGAATTTAATGAGCACCGATTCACGGAAATTTTGGGGAACACGTCTGAAGTGTCCTGTAAGGGATAATGGTCAAGTGGAGTAGGGGTTATTACCCCAAATGGTCTCACTGTGGCTTGTCCCCCAGGGAAGTCACCATTACGTCAGGTGACTGGTGTCCAGGCCTCAGCAACCAGATCCCAAGGTAGGGTTGCCTGTGGTTTGCTCCACACGCACACTCTCCATTACCAGGCTCCTGGACGCTGGCAAAGAACCAAGGGGCCATTTTGCTGATGTCACAGTATCTTAGAATGGGTGTGAAAGAGAATAAACATTTCAGAACTTTATCCCATACCGTTACCAGATGTTAGTGCTAAACAGGAGAAATTCAATTCTCAAGAGAAAAATAGTCTGAATACTAGCTCATTTTCTATGAGCTGCAGCCAAATTCCAGCTTTTTGTTCTTTCTTGGAGTTGTGGAGGACACACTGAGTGTCAATAAGAAAATCCTGCTAGATCCTAGGCAAAACACCGGCATTGCCTGACTTTAACCTGGAGGCACTCACCATCTCCTGAGAACTGGGACAGTTCAATGAGCAAACTCTAGGAAACAACTAAAACGTGCAAGGTGCTCTTCCATGCGCCGTGGGTACTTGGGGGAACAAAATTACAGAACTCTGCTCCCAGATTTAGGTCAGGTGTGGGGCTGGGAGGTACCAGTATCTACGCAATGAATCTCCCTTTACTTGGTGGTAAAGTTCCTTTCTTCCAACTGTTGGCTTTCTTTACATCTGGATTACTCAAGAGACCAAAGGGTGACCCTGCAGACACTGTGGTCTTTAAATATTAGCTGCCTCTTCAGGAACGGTCTTGAGCAGCGAGTAAACAGGCGAGGCCTTCCCAACCTACCATCCGCATAAAGGGGAGATGCTATAGCTGCTAGAGAAGGTCACGGTATCCCTTCCCCGGACTCAAACATCCAACCCAGTAGTACAACAGCCGCTCTCGTGAAAACGGAAGTGGCTCTGAAAAGAGCCTTTGGGAGGGAAAGCAAACGCGCTCGGGCAAGCTTCGCAAGGGCAGATTATGCTCTCTCCCCGCGGATGCGGCGCGCCAGCTGGATGTCCTTGGGCATGATGGTGACGCGCTTGGCGTGGATGGCGCACAGGTTGGTGTCCTCGAAGAGCCCCACCAGGTAGGCCTCGCACGCCTCCTGCAGGGCCATGACGGCCGAGCTCTGGAAGCGCAGGTCGGTCTTGAAGTCCTGCGCGATCTCGCGCACCAGCCGCTGGAACGGCAGCTTGCGGATCAGCAGCTCGGTGGACTTCTGGTAGCGCCGGATCTCGCGCAGGGCCACCGTGCCGGGCCGGTAGCGGTGCGGCTTCTTGACGCCGCCGGTGGCCGGCGCGCTCTTGCGGGCCGCCTTGGTGGCCAGCTGCTTGCGCGGGGCCTTGCCGCCGGTCGACTTGCGGGCCGTCTGCTTCGTGCGAGCCATGACCAGACACTTGCGCTGCGAAATCTAGCAACTGCCGAGTTGGTGTCGGGACCAGACTTTATACTCATGAGCCCATCCTGATTGGTCAGAGCTGTCGCAGGAGTAACCTGATTGGTTTTCAATCCAATCCTCATTTGAGTCCTAAGATCTCCGAAACGGTTTTGTTTTCCATGCTTGGTTTTTTGTTTCCTATTTTTACAGGAAAAAATTATGGCTGTACTCCACCCTAAGTTTACTGTTTTCAACCAAAACGTTAAGATTCCACCAGTGAAAAGGAATCGGACCCAGAATCTGTGGAAGTCAGAGCCTAAAGTGTCCTTAAAAAAATGCATTTTCATTTCAGCCCTTTCCCCCTTTTCATATAATATGGGGAAAAATATCAGAATAATCTGTTGGTTAGTCTAAGAAAAGTTGCGTTTCATAACTACATCATTAAGATCTGCTTCTGCTGACTGTGCCGAGACCCAGAACAAAGTCAGTTTTCAAATAAGGGCACAGCGGCCGCCTGGAACACCAAAACTTGACTTTACCCCGCGTGGTGCGGGGAAGGGGAACGCGTGGTGCGGGGAAGGGGAACTTGATAAATGTTAGACTCCTCAATGCCAGCGAGCGGTTATCTGACATCATTAACTTACTCATGCAATCAAGTGGCTGATTGGGGTACTTAATATGTAAATCGTGCTAAATTTAATAAGCAGGCGTGGAGTGCTAAGACTTACAGTGACCGGGAATTAAGAGCTTTTTTCTAGGAGTAGCTCCTTAGTGTTAGGAAGCTTTTCGTTGACCAATGAACCATCAGGTTGTACTACTGATAAAGACCCAGGGAACAACACAAGACCGATTTAATTAGTGTTTGCCGGAACAGATAATTAACCAGAAGTGTGTTCGTGGGGGGGGGAGGCAATAAAGGTGGTTTAATGGTTTTATAATTGAGCAAAATATGCATTGTATGGCCTTTACCAGAATTGGCCACATCAAAAAGGAAAGCAGTTATTTCGTGTTCCTTACATCTAAGAGTGTTAAGTTCTTCCTCAGAAGTGGTGGGTGGCTCTGAAAAGAGCCTTTGGTTCCTAAAGATTGGTATCTGAATTGAGACCTTATTTGCCCTTGGCCTTGTGGTGGCTCTCGGTCTTCTTGGGCAGCAGCACGGCCTGGATGTTGGGCAGGACGCCGCCCTGCGCGATGGTGACGCGGCCCAGCAGCTTGTTGAGCTCCTCGTCGTTGCGGATGGCCAGCTGCAGGTGGCGCGGGATGATGCGCGTCTTCTTGTTGTCGCGCGCCGCGTTGCCCGCCAGCTCCAGGATCTCGGCCGTCAGGTACTCGAGCACGGCCGCCAGGTACACGGGCGCGCCGGCCCCGACCCGCTCGGCGTAGTTGCCCTTGCGGAGCAGGCGGTGGACGCGGCCCACCGGGAACTGGAGGCCGGCCCGCGACGAGCGCGTCTTGGCCTTGGCGCGAGCCTTGCCGCCTTGCTTGCCCCGCCCGGACATGACGGTACCAAACACACTGCGAGCAGCTGCCAAAGCTACACAGCCAGCCCGGCACTTTTTATAACCCTGTTGAGCGCCAAAAGCGAGGTTGCGCATTGGCTAAGACTGTGGCTTTATATCGCCCAATGGAAATGCAACTTTGGGATCCTTGCGTTCCGATTGGGCAGAACTAACTTCTGACGTTGGGTTGAACAGCCACCAATCAGACGCAGGGTGTAATTTACGCCTTATTTGCATAAGGGCTTCTATATAAGCCGGACAAGTGGCGGCTTGGTGACGCTGTTACTTCGGTCCAAGTCGGCTCCGGCCCCGAAGAAGGGCTCCAAGAAGGCGGTGACCAAGGCGCAGAAGAAGGACGGCAAGAAGCGCAAGCGCAGCCGCAAGGAGAGCTACTCGGTGTACGTGTACAAGGTGCTGAAGCAGGTGCACCCCGACACCGGCATCTCGTCCAAGGCCATGGGCATCATGAACTCGTTCGTCAACGACATCTTCGAGCGCATCGCGGGCGAGGCGTCCCGCCTGGCGCATTACAACAAGCGCTCGACCATCACGTCCCGGGAGATCCAGACGGCCGTGCGCCTGCTGCTGCCCGGGGAGCTGGCCAAGCACGCCGTGTCCGAGGGCACCAAGGCCGTCACCAAGTACACCAGCTCCAAGTGAGCTCGCCGGCAGTGACCGCAACCCAAAGGCTCTTTTCAGAGCCATCTACACTTTCAGAGAGGAGCTGTTGCGTTTTGGCTGTAGTGAGTTGCTTTTGGTAGTGTTTGGGTGGGGGAACAGGGTTGGGAGAGGGTAGGTCGCTGGGAAGAAGGCTAAACATAAACACTGAGGCTTACTACCCTGCCAATTTAGTGTGGGTTTTTTGACGTCCTCTGGAACGAGGCTTCCAGTTTTGTGCTTCAGTCAATAGCCGAAATTTCGCCTTTGGTTATGCTTTTATCGATGAAGCTCCTGTCGCTAAGCCTTGGGGACTGGCGGCAGATCTCGCCGATAAACTACACTACTTGGTGGCGAACAGTTCCCTAATTTCATCGTGTTCTTGAACTCGACATCCTATTCCTTCCCTCGTTTTCGCTTTTTCTCGCATTGATGTTTTTCCTCGGGAGACCCTCGGAGCGGCGGGTTAGGACGCACTGCTCTCTACTGCCATCTTGTGGCAGAAAGCGGAGGCAGAGATCCAAGGCGTTGCTTTTTCCAGATCGAATTGAGATGTTTTCTTCGAAGTTCAACTTCTCAAGGACGACCGTGAGCTGAGGTATATAGAGTCCCTATTTCTATCTCCCTTTAGCCATTGGATTTAAGTCTCCAGCAGTCGGTCTTGCACATGAAAGAAGGGGAGTCAAAGATGTCAAATAACCAAAATAAAACCCTGTTTTGTATATCTGGTCCTCAAAGTATAAGACTTTAATGTTTCCTGTAAACCTAAACATCTGACAGACACTCATTCCCCTGATTTTGCTGGGCTGCTCTTTGAAGACACGTCAGGATTTAGGAATATGATTACATATAACTAAGTTGCACTTTCTTTACCAAAAAGTCAGTATACGCTTGGTAACCTTGGTCATTTTGCAGGTCCCTCTGCCCTTTTAAATATGCGTGTTTCCCCCTAAGTCTGGCTCTTGCTCTTTGCACGTAGACTTTTTCTTTCCAAATGTTTCTCTTACTCCTTGACACTTACCTGCCTAACCAAGTTCAAACATCCTATTAAAATGCTTGCATTCATTTTCTGGTGTTGCCACAGCAAAATACCATTTATTGGTTTTTAAAAAACATGTATTTATTTTCTCAGGGTTCTGTGGGCTTTAAGTCCAAGATCAAGGTGTGAGCAGGCTTGGCTTCCCTCTGGGCTTGCACCGGAGAACTCATGTGGCCTTTTTCTCTGTGTTTGCACACCTCTGGAGTCTCTCCATTTCTTCTAAGAACATCAGTCCTATAGGATTAGGACCTTCCTTATGATTTCATCTAACCTTCATTACCTCTTAAAAGACCATGTGTCCAAATACAGTCGCACTGGGGTTAGAACTAAAATATGTGGATTTTGAGAGAACATGCTTCAATCCATAACAGCACATAAGGCCCTTTTCCATGCTTTGCTCTCAACCTTCTATTCCAAATTGTCTTTCACAAAATACCTACATCTAGCTTAAGCTGCCGCTAAAGAGACAGCTCTGCTGTCCCCCAAACCAGAGGTTTAAAGTCAAATGCTCACAAAGGCCCAGCCCATAAGAGCAAAACTGGCTGGATACTAGAAATCAGGCCTCAGCTCCACAAAGAAAGGTGCTCTTTGCTAGTTTGCTTGAAGCACATGGACTCCTGACACCAAATTTCATTTTCCCGGTTTTAATAGCGTGTTTCACTGTTCTCTTAATGCCGCTGTAAGAACTAGCACGAGGACGTTGAAAAATGCCAGCTAGCATCTGCCCATGAAGGGGGTCAGTTGGAACGTCAGAGACCCGAAGAACACAAGGCCTATGCAATGGGTTTCACCTGATTGTTGCCCTGTGGGGCCGCAAGCCCTGGACAGTGAAACTTTCCATTTTTCAAGGGGATATGCATTTTAATATGGGATATTCTAAATTTTCAGTATAGGCAGCTAGTAAAAAATGTATAGCCTAGTGCAGATTAAACAACAAATGTCTGCATGCTTCATCAAACCCTTAAGCTCACAGGTGGGAGATCTCTGGGCATTAACAGAGATTTCTGTGCCCCTGACAAGCTGTCCTATGTCCTTCCCCTGCCACCAAAGCCCAGATCTCATGCCCAGATCTCCCCAGCTTCCTAAACCCTCCCCTGAAAAGAATCTGTTCTCTTGGCAGCCCTGGGCAGAGACCAGGTCTTGCACACAGCAGGCATCCACCAGCTATTTCGTGCCATTTAAATAAATGGATAAAGAAGTGAGCTAAAAGAGAAATTTTAAATTCTTTAAGCTACTACCAGCAATGAAATAGAAGTGGTGAAAGGTATTTGGAGTTGTTTATTTATGGATTTAATAGTTACCTGGATAAATAAACCCGTTCCTCTCTAATTATGTGAACTTTGTCTTATTGTGATATATTCTCTACCCACTTTTCTTTGGTCTAGTCTCAACATTTTCTCCGTTTTCTTTTGCTGATTGTCCCCATCTCTCCTGTCTCATCACAAAGGAAAGGAAAGAGACTGTAGAGGTCACAAGAATCTTAAAGTAAGTTCCACTCCTTCCCTTCCTACAGTGACTCTCTTCTGCAAATGGCCCACCCTTGCTCCCTGAACCCAGCCTATTTCTTTCTCTTTTAGCCCCTCATTTTCTACTGTCTATTTAAATGAGACACAGACTCTCACATTCTGTTTAAATCAACTGTCGAGTGAATCACTGATTTTATTTTATTTTTTACTTTACCTTCATGCATATGAAAGAAATAAGAACCAAATTGTCTTCTGACTGAACAAAGAAATACCACAAAGGTAAAGGTCTTGAAGGAAAAAGGCAGTTCCAGTTAGCATCTTATGACGAGGGCAACACATTTTTAAAGAGAAAGACACCAGAAACCAATATTGCACTGTATGTTAACTAACTAAAATTTAAATTAAAAAAAATTAAAATTAAATAAAGAGAAAGACAATCATTTGCAGACTTAGAAGTTAAACGTGACTTTCAGAGGTCATACACTCTGAAGTCAGTCGACATCTGTGAAAATCCTTCATCAGAAACATCAGTGGCCAGGTCCATTTTACGAAGCCCTCCAGGATCTCTTCCTCAGCAGCTGCAAAGAAGGGGATTTCCCTGTCCTGCACTAGAAGAGGTCAGTGTTTTCAAGCTTAAGTGCTGGCTTTCCCCTAGTTGGTACCTACCGATAAAAGCAGGCCTGAGAATGAAATGTTGACATGGAGAAGGGAAAAGGGGGTTATTAATAAAAGAGATGTGAGTTGTCAGAATAGATTACCCACTATTTGGAAGCGGATGAAGGGGATCCCAAGGTGGCCTCTCATTGATTCACTGTGGTGCCATGAGGCAGCCTCCAGGGTACGTGATCTGTGGAGGGGCGCATCTTTGGTCGCCTTTAAATCATTAGGTTATTTTACAACCTGATAGAGAAAGAATGTAAGTTGTAGATATTAATAAAGTGCAGATGATTCCAGGTGATGAACGTGGGAAGGAAGGTGGGAAAGACTGAGCTGGTCTCAGTCTCGTCGTCGTCCTCCAAAGCTCATCAAACGGACACTCAGCTCTGCAAGAGGAATACAGCTGCACGCAAGGAGCGTCTAGGCCTCTCTGCAATTCTGCGGTTTGGAAATCTCAACCGTCAGCATCCATAGAGGACTTGGATCCGTAGCCAGCAAGTGAGGACTACAAGGGAAGGCGAAGACTTCGAGGAGTCAGAAGGCTCGAGCTCATCCCAGTTGCAGCTGCTCCTTGCAAATAAAAATTATTCACCCAACGGCCCCGACAAGAAGGGGAGAGATGCCCATCAAATTCAGGTAGAGTTGCCCTGAAAAAGATACTAGGATTGGGGCTGCCATTTAAAAGAGGGCTTCAGTTGCTGTGTGCTTTTTTTTTCTAGCTGATGGGTTAAAATCAATGCTCTCCGACAGGGGGCACGTGACCTTGCTTAGTTTGAGATCTCTGATTGGTGGATTATTCTCATCCAAAAGTTAGTAAAGCTTTCCTTAGAAACGCAGGGGAAACAGGATTCTAAGCCCGTGTCGTAAACGCACCCAATCTGGGGGGGGGGGGGCGGCGGTGGCGGGAAGGTTGAAAAACAAAGCAAAAACGAAAGCCCGGTTAGCAGAGGATGGTTTCGATCCATCGACCTCTGGGTTATGGGCCCAGCACGCTTCCGCTGCGCCACTCTGCTAGCTTTGGCAAGCGCTCTTTAAGTAATCCCTTTATTCTATTTTCTGCTAAAGGCTGTGGCCTTCGTCCTAGTTTTTCTTCCTCCTCAAAGACTACACATCCGTTCTATCCACGCTTCCGACAACAGAATGAGTCCAGAGCACCCCGACTCCACATAATCTGAAAGCAGGAAATTCGATGCTCCTGTCGGGAAACGGCGGCCGCCAGCCTGCGCCACTGACCTCCGCGGAAGCGGCTCTGCGTCTCGTCTGAGAGTCCCAGAAACGATGAGCAGCCTCAGAAACCGCACTTGGAAGGAATCCTACTACTACACGGGGGCGATTTCAAAACGATTTGAAAGGATTGAAAGGAAAAAAAAAAAAAAAGCACGAAAAGCTAACATGCCGTTGCATTGGCCGGGAATCGAACCCGGGCCTCCCGCGTGGCAGGCGAGAATTCTACCACTGAACCACCAATGCCTCGTGCTGGAAAGGTCACGCCGGGGATAGAAAAGGGTTAGCCTGCTGTTTTTTTCGCTAATAACAATACACGTGTATTTCTTTTTTTTCTTTTTCTTGTTTAGCTTGTTTTCTGCTCTTATTGACTAGAACCTTGTAATAATCCTTCTTCCCCACTTTTCAGGAAAACCTCACTTTCGTGGCAATCCCGCGACCCGGAGCCCGGCCGGGCGGGGGCGACGCGGTGGGACCCCCGGGCACGCGGCGGGCACAGCGAGGTGGGACCCCCGGGGACCGCGCAGGGAGGGGCCCGGCACCGCTCTCTGCGGGCCGCCCAGGAGAAAAGCAAGGCAGGGGGAGAAGGCAGGCTTCGGTTGCCGTGGTTACGCAGG